CCCATGTCATTTTTGCATCATGCATCACATCAAGGTCCCAAACTTGGTTATCTCTCTCTCTCTCTCTCTCTCTCTCTCTCTCTCTCTCTCTCTCTCTCTCTCTCTCTCTCTCTCTCTCTAAGTTTTCCTTTGAAGGGATAACAAAGCACCCATTTTCATTTGTATATCTTTTATACTTTATGTTTCACAAACCTCTAACCAAAGTTTAAAAAAATATGTTTTCAATTGATCAAAGGAAGTTCAAGTTTAAGGCATTTTTTCAAGTGGTTTCAAGTTAGGGTTCATGTGTTTATTTCCATGCCCTTTTCATTCAAATTTCTTAAGCAATCCTCAAGATTTTTCAAAGGACAATCAATTTTCAATCATGTGGTATTAAAATGATAATTAATATGCCTTGGAATGCAAGAAAAGGTGAAAAATCACAAGTTGGTACAAGGTTGGATGACCTAAAATCAAGTATGGCATGTAATTTGATCCAAACACCATAACTTTCTCATTTATCAATAATTTTGAGTAATTATTTGAGCCAATTGTCCCTTTTGATGTCCTCTACAACTTTACGTCAAGGGTCAAAAGCCAATTCATCCTCTAAGTCCATCAATTTTGGAAATTTCTCAAAGGCCTTTTGTGCACTAAACTAGGCTATGACCTATCTGACCTAATGCCATACCCTTTTTTCAGTGCCATGACACCAACTTTAAACTCATTCCATTTTCACATTAAGAATCCTTTTGAATTGGTTCTTTTTGCATTGTGTTCTACTCCATGAAAGAATCATTTGGAAAAAATAAAATCAAGAAAGGCATGAGTAAATTCCATTTGGCCTAAGCTTGAACATGGTGACTCAACTCTGCATATTTGGTACATGACCTGTAATTAGAAATGATCTAAAAGTTGCTTGGGACCACTTCGCACATGTGCAAACTTCTTTGTCATGATGAAACATATTTGGTACAACACAAAATGACTTGATTTTCCGAATAACACATTTCATGCTCATCCTCACACGGTTTTGGATCTAGAACTTTCTAACTTGGTTCACACGACTGAGATCAAATTTTGCACGTATGATGAGCTCTCTCATTCTCGAATAAATAGAGCATCATTTTGCCTTAATTTCCAAGCTTAAATATTCAAAGAAACTCTACTTCTCTCAAGCCCGATAACTCTCAAAAACCAGAAAACCAAACTTTATTTTCACTTCATTTTAACTTCAATTTTCAACCCAAAAACCTTCATCGACATCATCTGAAGTTGTTTCAAGCTTAATAGAAGTTCTGCAACCCTTGCAAGCACTACATCGACTTCACCATTTTCAGACCTCTGAAGCTCATTTACATTTTTTTTTGAAAATTCTCTTTGCTCAGATCAAATAAATTGATCTGAAGCAAAGATACATAAACAGTGATATTAGTTGAAGCTTAACCATGTGTTGTTATATCTTTTAAAAAAACATGTGTTGTTATGGCTTGAAACAACAAGTTCATGTTTCTGCAAAATCAAAGTGGATGGAGGTTGAAGACAACTGTTGCACGCGCCATGGAGCAAAACTTTTGAATCCAACCAATCGTGTGCTGACACCTTGCCTAGTCGTTGCAATATTTTATTTCTTTTTATTTTTATTTCATAAAAGTTCGTTTTTCTTTCTAAAATCATTAAAAGTAGCTCCTAAAATCTTTTTCACTTCAAATTGTTTCTATAATTTTCTATAAAAAAATTCTACCTTATATATATTTTTTCAGATTTTTAAAATCATTTTAGTAGTTTTCACCATTTTCTCTTTATTTTCTTTTTAATTAACCTTCATCAATTTTATTTTAATCATTTTGGATCCCAACTTTTGAGAACTTGATCCTTAGTTTTTTTCTTCTGATTTTCTCTAATTTTTGTAGCTTTTTATTTGATATTTGGATTCATCTTTTAAATTTTCTTTCTATTTTCCATTTTAAACCATTAAAAAATAATTTAAAATAATTTTAAATATTAATTTGATTGTTCTTGATGATATGTATTTATGACTTTTGGTTGAATTAGTCAATTGTAGTTGATTGAAGCTCATCTTGTTCAATTGTACTTTGGATTGGTACTTGATGAACTTTCTTCATTTCAAATCTACCATTAAATGATCATTTAATCATTTTTGGTACTTTGGATTGATGATAAGTTTGTATTAAGGTATCATAAAGAAGATGAGTTGAAGTAATGATCCAATCCCCTTTCCTTTGTTGTTGATCACCTTTCTTCTTCTTCTTCTTCATATTTTTTCTTTTTTCTTTGTTTTAATCATTGTGTTGCATTGTTTTCAGAGGATGACTTTGTATTATTTCTCTAACATGTACTACATCTACATTGCTATTTCCCGACCTCAGATAGTGGTGACTTCTACATAAGTCCAATTACGATTTCTTAACATAGTGATAAATTATCCCAAATCGGTCGATTAACTACTAACACTAACATTAACTCCATATTATTGTGCTAATTTTACTTTTCCTCACTTTTACGTTAATGTCATTTAATTTTTTGCCCTTTACTTTTGTGCAATTTAATTTCTTGTCAATCATCATTCAAGTCATTTATCATTTCATATCATTTTTTATTTAAAACATTAATAAATATAAAACCCTAAAAAACTTGTAATGTGCTCTTAAGGACTATTTTCACTATCCCTTAATTTTGGAGTTTGGACTTTAGACTTGAGACCATGGTTACTTTCCCTTAGCTTGGAGTTTATCTGATACTTTGGTTCATCTAAGGCATTAATTTCATTTGATACTTTATCGTAACTGAGACTTAGAATCATCTGAATCATTTTGTTTTATCAGAGACTTGGCCATGTTCTTATACCTTGTGCCTTTATCTGGACTTTGTTATGTTCATGTGCTCATTGTGCTTGATCAACTTGTGGCTTAAATCCAAAGGGAAAGAAATGTTGGTTTTGACCAATGTCAAATGCTTGCTCTTCTTATGGTTAGTTCACTTTCACACACAAAGGCTTTGTCTTGGTCTACCTTACAATGATACCTTTTATTTAAATTTATTTACTTTATGCTTTAGGATAGTCTCTTCATCTCCTCCCCTTCTTTAATTTTCAAAATCTTCTCCCTATTTCAAAACTTCTTGTTTTCAAACTTCACACCTTTTCTTAAACAAACCTTGATTTTGTCAAGTGATCCAGAAAATCTTTTTTCTTAATAAATACTAAAACACTTAAGCATATTCAAACTCTTTCCAAAACTCCTAAAAAGACAAACCTCATAAAACTTCTTTTTGTGCCTTAGTGCACTTTGCTTTTCTAACCAGACCTTTTTCCGAAAGAAAGCATATGAGTCTATTCTTAAAGTGATGCAATTTCCTATACTTCTACAATATGTTGTGAAATTGTTTGACATTTTCCACTTGAATGTTGAGACATTCTTGTTGAGTAAATCCAAGTAATATTTTTCATATGAAGATGATGCAAATGCTCATTTCCTCATACTTGTGGCTAGTAAGTTGAGTTTTCCACTCGAATATGACAAAATGTAGTTTTCACCTAAATATTAATCAAAAAACAAAAAGATCTTTTCATAAACAAATGCAAGTGGTTCCAATGGAGTACCATAGATGTGAGTGGTGATAATACCTTCCCCTTGCATAACCAACACTCGTACCTAAATATATGTTGCACCCTAAAATTTACCCTCCTAATTCCTTTCATTTGGGCTTAGGCTTTTGCACTCATCTGCATATGTTCCATTAGGTCTAACATGGCATACATTTCATTCAATATAGATTTGTGGTTCAAAGTTTAGGGGTTGTGCGATGTTGGGGTTTCGTAATGGTTAAGGTAAAGGAGGATTTCTTATTCAAGCAGTGAACAGTGGGATTAGGGTTGTGATCTGGGTCATTGAGAATTTCTTTCTTCATCAAGTTACGAGGCTATCAGGGTTTATCTTTTTATGTGATCAAAGCCAGGTTTTCGCTAATTATGCTCCAATCGAGTTTTTCTTCAAAGATAATGAGGTTAGGGTTTGTTTTTCATTAAGGGACTTTCATAGAGAGCCTTATTTTGTGCGTCAGGAATCATCTTCTTCAACGAAATTTCTTAAGGATTTTAGCCTTATGTTTTCAAGTAGACATGTTTGTGACTTGAATTGCAAAAGCTGAAGCACAACACAAGATATGATACGAGGGAGCATTTAGTGAGTCAGAACAATATGAATAAAGGCTTTGATTTTGGGAAAAGAAAATATGGGGAAGTTATTTTCTTGACCAAGTTCATGCATGAATATTGTTGATTCGGTTGAATTTTATGTCATATCTTAAGTACAAGACTTATTCATCAAATATGCAAATTGGTTGGAATTCATTCGTTGAGTCTTGAAGTGAAGTGTTCAGAGGATAATCAAGTGGAATCAAAATTTTGTTTTGTTTTCAAGAATTTGATTCATGTAAGTTTGGAAACCTTATTCATAAGTGTTTCTTAGAATTGTAAGTTACAAGTGTAAATTTCTAAGCTCACAAGACAAATATCATTCATCATCGTTTCGTAAAGGATACAATTGTTCAAATTCAAGATTTCCAAACCCTACAACATTCACCAGTCAAAGTTTGAATCAACATCATTCATTCATTTACGGATGTTTGAACATTGTTAATTCAAAAAAAAAAGTTTATCGGCTTTTCTTTCGGGAATCTTCTGGATTCTTCTTAAGCATAATTCAACTGAATTGAGTTATAATGCTAAAGATGTAATTAAGCATAATGCTACTGTTCAGGTATCGTTCATATTGGAAAAATTAGTTTCACAACTTATTCCATACATTGAAAGATTACAAGATGATATATTTAGTGAAATAGCTCTGCCAAAACACAAAGGTGGCTGTCCTATCCATACACCAAAGTGTGGCACCTAGCTTGTCTGATGTGATATTCGTTGTTCTTTATGATCCAATAATCCAGTTTACTCGAGTAGCCTGAGATCATCATTGATTGAACTATTTCTCCAGCAATCCATTATGACTTTCATAACATCAGTATTTGGAAACGCATATTCGTTTGAGATCTTGAAGACTCTTGGTGGGTTGACCGTAAAACCAGTGCAGTCTGCTTCTATTTGGAAGATATCTGATATTCTATTAACTCTACTCTTAATGATTCAATATCTGAAGTCCTGGATAAGATTGACGACTTCGAGGAAGAAATTCATAAAGTCAGGAAATAATTTGAGTTTTACAACCGAAACCCAGCCCTACGTTAAAAATCAGAAAGCAAATTCAAGAAACCGCGAAAACAAAAAATCGCGAAATAATGAAAACAACACTCTAGCCCAACAACAAAACAAAGGAAGCAAACAGAAGACCAGCCCAGTTATCAGGAAGTAAAAAAAGAAATCATGTGGTTAGAATAACAGAATTTGCCAGCTCATAGACATCTCTAACCAATTCCTAACTAACTACCACTTTAAATCTCATCCATCAAAATCCCTAACTAACATTCACAATAACGGTTCATATGGATTCAACTCTAACTAACTTCCTAACCATAACAGAATTATAAGAGAAAAACTCACATTTGATAGATCGACGGGATTCATTCTGCAGAATCGGAAAAACCAGAAAAACTCTTTATTCTCCTCTCTTGTTCCATCTATCATTCTTCAATCTATGCATCTTCTTTAACCTTTTCCACCATCTTCTCGTATCATCATCAATCTTCAATATTCTGTAGAATCAAAACACAAGAAAAATATCTCCCAATCTTCAGTCTTCATCACCTTCATAATTCTTCAACCTCTCTCAAGCTTCTGCAACAAAGGCTACCATCAACATCTTTGACACTTCATCACCTGCATCAGATTGCAATCTTCAATCTTCACCTCCTCATACGCAGCAATCATCATCGGGATCGATCCGTGAATATCATCGATCTTCAGTGCTGAATGACCTGTAACAACAACCTCACGAGTCTTTCAGCGCAAGAACGACACACTCTTAGCATAGGAAGAATGGCGCAAATAACAAACGGAAGCGGAGTGTACTCGTACAGAGGCATAGCAAAATCGTAAAAGATGAACAATTCTAGAAGAAGAAGATAGGGAACGAAAAGTATGAAGAAGTGTACCTGAGGGGAGGATATACCTCTGGATTTCAGATCTTCTTCACCGCATTCGAAGAGAAATCAGAGCGTCTCTGATTGGTAAGCTTCATAACTCAATTCTCCCGTTTTCTTTGAATTCTTGCTACATCGTAGATATGAACGACAAGTAGAACCAAAGCCCCTTACTGATGGTGTGACCTAACATTCGATTGTAACCGGATGTGCATCTTCATAAATTAGGTTTATTGCCATAAGGTAAATTTAGTTTGGGAATTTTATGGATAATGAATAGAAGGAGTTCGGATTTGAGATGAAAACGAAGAAAGAGGAAGCTCTGCCGCCTTCGATGCGACGGAGAAATTTTCGTTGGAGCGTGAACTTTGGGAGAGGCGGGTTTCTAAAGAAGGCAAAATGAAAAGAAGATACTAGATGAACCATCACAAATGGGACTTGGCTGATTTGTTTGGGCCTCTATGGCATGGAATTGATTTCAATTCACACCCTTAGGCCCGTTTCAACTTGTTTGGAAATGGAGATAGTGAACAAAAAGGGATTCTGGACTGTTCAAGCTTAGGCCCGTTGATTTTTTTTGGAAGCATATGGACTTACACAAAAATGCTGATCCTGGGATAAAATAAAGAGATTCTAGACCTGGGCTTTGTATCTGACCAGTTTACTACACCATACTCCTGAACTCAGCAATACACCCCTAGCTCTTCTTGTTTTTACTTAGTTTTTTTAGTTTAATTTTATTTTTCTCAATTTTTAATAATAGATAATAAAAACAATAAGAGAGTAAACTGTTTTAGGAATATATTTAGAGCAGAACCCAACTTCTTATTTTTTAGTTTTCTTATATGAAAAAAAAAGAAAAGAAAAATATAGTTTAATAGAATTTTTGCTAGACTCTTTGTAGAATTTTGTTTAGAATTTTCTATTATCGATTGTGTTAGTAATTATTTTGTTACTTGAAACTTGCGATTCACCTATGCTTGTTGAGATTTGAGTCTTACGCAGGTTTATTGTGCGATATGCGGATGCGCTTAAGATTTCGATTATGATTTATTTTCACATCGATGATGCTTCGATACTTATTCCGAGCATTCGATTTCTGACTCTTTTTTTTGATTGGTGAAGATTTTGCGAAGATCGCCGGGTTTCTTTGTTTTGATAGGCTTTGCTACGGATTGATATCCGTTTGATATTTTATCTTGTTTATCTCATTTTTCACTTTACTACTTTCTAGATATCATGAAAAGTAGGAAATAAAGAGGTGCGCTCGAAGTCGCTGTTTAAAGATCTGTAGAAGGCATTCCACACTTCATTTCCTATATATGTTATGCTTGTGTTTGTTTCCTTAGTTGTTGATCGATGAGTCACTCAATTTAGGAATTCAGATCACGACTTTGCTCTCAGTGCATGCTCCCTATAGGATTTCATTGCTTTCCTTTATTTCTTGTTGATCGATGAGTCACTCAATTTAGAAATTGAGATCACGACTTCGCTCTCATTGCATGTTCCCTATAGGATAGTTTTGTTAGACTTTCTTAGGTAATGGTAGCCTAGATATGATCTCTCTAGATGTGCTTTCTGGAGTTTATTGGCTCGCCTGTTTGATTTCATCTTTGTGTACATGTTTTGAGATAACGTACCTTCGGCATGTTCTCTTAGGAGATCTTAATTCAACTATAGATGGTGATTCGAGATAGACATAGTTTTAAGTGATAGACCTTTGCTATGCTCCTTTAGGACTTCTTGATTCATCTATAGATGATGATTTGAGATAGACATTAGGATTGTTATCCAAGCATGTCAACATAGAGTAGAGATTTCCCTTCAAAGCTCAACCTTAGGATTAATCTTTGTATGATAACATTAGGGATAGATCTAGGTTAGCCTCCCTTAGATGTTTTCTTTTCCTTTGCATCCTTGCATTTAAAACAAAAACTTTCTTTTTCTTAGCAAATGCATAAAACATCTAACAATTTTCAAATCCTTTTTTAAGGTAAAAAAATATCAACCAATGCAAACTCTTTTTGCGCCTTCGGGCTTTTATTTCAAACCTTTTTCAAAAGAACATATTAATTCACTTCTGTGCTAACGCATAAATCTCCAAAGGTCGAGTTGCGGCAGAAGGAGAAATTAATATTGTTCATTAAAAAATATAAACCAACAAAAACATGTTAGCTGAACTACGGCTGCTTTGATTCCTTAAAAGGGATATGTAGGCATTAGGGTAGGGCCCGAGCGAGCACAACTTTTATTTTCCCTACATTCTTTTCTCCTTTCTTTTGCATGCATTCCTTGTACAGCTTAGATATAGATTCCTACACATCCTTTGATTAGAACAACAAGAGTGGATACTGTAGAGTACTACGGGCGTGTGGGGTGCTAATACCTTCCCCTCGCATAATAGACTCCCTTACCCGATATCTCGATCGTTTGATCGTGATTTCACCCTTCTCAGGTTTACTCGATGTTTACCTTTCCCTTCTTGTGGGATAAAAAACATTCGATGGCGACTTCATTGATTTCATTATCAGTTGATTATTCAATTGGTTATTTTAGCTGGTGACTTCATTGGGGATAGATTGACCTTTTACTGGTCCATCCCGGAGTCGATCCTAGCTCTTGTTTTCTTTTCCTTGGGTGTTTATTTTTATGCTTTATAGCTTGTTCATTTTGTACATGTTTATTTGTGAATATGTTTGCATTGCATTTTATTGCTTTCTATATTGGTGATACTGCTATGTTGGATCTGTTTTCATGATTGGGTGGGTGTTACTATGAGGTAAAAGGCCTAATACCCAGGCCAAAGTGCACTAGGATACTAGGAATAGAGTTAAACATAGACGACTAGTTTATGTAGGTTTGACTATTGCCGCCATGTTATCCATGCTCAAATGAGGTACAAATGAGGGGCTATCGTTTTCACGTAGGTGATACAGCGATAGTTTTCTTAGGAGTACCCTTGATTCTGGGTTACCCGACCTTACCCTGACCTAGTTTTCACCCGTGAGAGGGAGGGACTTGATTATTACAGGTACAGATGATGACTATGTTATGATGGTGACCGTTATTATGTTGGTGGCTATGTGGATCTCAGATTTATTTTTTGAGTTTCTGGATTCGGTATTCAGGATGGTTCTTTGGTTATGTTCTGGACCTTTAATCCTGATATATTCAACTTGTTCAGATATTATACGATGGTTATTAATGGTACTTGGTTCCATTGTGTTTTGAAAGTGGCGTCGAACCTTCGATTCTGTGATATTCGAATTATTCAGCAGATTCACACAACAATTATCCAGAGAATTTCATAGTTATTATGCTGAACTTTTGAACCTATGTCATTGCACCTTGCATCATAGCATATTTATTTTACACAAAAATGGAAATGTGAAAGATTTTACGCAAAAATAAGTTTAAACAGGGCATTGCATCCGCTCATTCACCTCATGCATCTTCATGCATCCATAGCAGGTACTCAGAAGGTACTCAGAATGGGGAATCCTTATTCAGACTCGATATTTTCTTTTCAGAGCTGCAAATCTTGACTTATCACCGCTTCGTGATCAGATTCAAGATATGGAAAAACTTCGCGGGGAATTGGACGAGATGAAAGAACAGATGGGATTCATGATGCTAGACATACAGGATTTGGTCAGTGGACAAGAACTCTTGAAAGAAGAAAACACCCAGTTGAAGACTCAATTGAATTTGGCTATGGAAATTTTAGGGACAATGTTGAAGAAATAAGATGTTTCTATGCCTGCTACAATAGGAGCTACCATTCCTCCCCATAATCTGAGGACTCTTTCAAGTCAGGGAGCATCTCCTCCACAACCTTGCATTCCAGGATCCTCCCATCCGCAACCAGTTGTCGCTTCCCGAGAGGACCCAAAAGGAAAAGTCCGTCAGCAGAGGCCAAAACAGCCTGAACGACAATTTGATCCTATTCCAATGCTGTATGCACAATTGCTTCCTCCCTTGCTAGAATTTCATTTGGTTAAACTTCAAATCTTCACTACACATGAAAAATGCCCTCATGGCTTTGACGACAATGCTAGGTGTGAATTTCATTCTGGGGCACCTGGTCATGATACTGAAGATTGCATAGCTTTTAAGCACCAAGTCCAGGACTTGCTTGATGGAGGGACAATTATCTTCACTCCTGAAGGTCTGAGTGTGCAAATCAATCTCATGCCAACTGCTACAAAGAATAGGGTTACGCCTTCTCCTCTTCAAAGTTCTATCTCACGACTGGAGTCACGTCATCCACAACCTATAATCCTAGAAAGTTCTCACCAGTAGCCGTTTGCAAGTTGTGGAAATTGGTTGGTTAATTAAAACCAGAATGTTCCTCATGTTCACCTAGCTCAGTGTGCTAGTCAGCAGCAAACCTATCAACAAATACATATGCGACAAGGTAAGCAAAGGGATATGAAGCCAAAAAGGGTGTCCGACATTGTTCCTATGACTTATGGCCAGCTGTTCTCTCAGTTGCTCAAGCTTTCCTTGGTGGAACCTGTGATACGGTGGGAGAACTGACTCGAGTTTTTGCGTTTGTTTTCGCAAATGTTTCGGTTGAGCAAGAGTCGCCACCGACTTTTTATTTTATCCTAAAGGAAAGGTTTAAAAAGCACAGCAAAAACCTTTTGAGATATTTCGTGGGTTCGGGGGGTAGATTATGAAAAGGGAAGGTATTAGCACCCTTTTCATCCATGGTTATCCATGGGCTCTTAGTTACTTGGTTTTTTAGATCACTTACCTTGATTTTCGATTGCTTGAAAATGGTGTGTGTGTGTGTTTGTTTGAAAATGTTTTTGAAGAAGATGCCTT